TAGAAAAACTGGTTTTTTAAAATGAGAAAGGAGGGATATGAAAAAATAAATGACAAAATAGACAAAATAATATGCTTGACATGCATAATTATAGATTTAGAGTTTTTATAAAATAAAAATTCAAAAAAACAATTAAAAATAATTTTTTTTTGTTTAAACAATTTGTTTTTCTTGGTCATATAATTTTTTATATGTCTCTATATAATAAGTAATATGTGTAAAAATCATTAAAATTCATTCACTTGTCTGTGAGATATATCGGTTTCAATATTAAAAAAAAAATTTGAAAATCCCGTAAATTCCAAAAAGTGGTATTTTTAAAAATTACTTCTAGGCATTGCATTTACATATGGGGCATTTTCAGTAAATGTTTCACTTAACAATTTTTTTTATTAAAACAATTTTTTTCGAATTCTATATGAAAAATAAGTAAATACGTGTTTTTTATTTGATCAAAATTATAAGAGTTATGATTTTTTTAAATTTAACATCTTCGGAAGCAAAGGATATTTGAAACACTTTTAACTCCGTTATACCAAAAGATAAAAAATAATGTAATATATGAAAATGACTTGTTTTCTCTTAAATATTTCAAATATGTAATAAAAAATAACTTTAATAAAGCGAAAACATTAATTAAATTGAAATTTCGTCTAAAATGTGACTTTTCTCAAAAGCAAAGTAATTGATTTTTGATTTTTTTCTTCCATTACAACCACTGATAAATATATAAATTTTTCCCTCTTATGCCAAAGTGGTGTTCTTTAGGGTTCAAATTATATTTAAAATTATGTCAGTAGTTGCACAGAGTTTTATTCGATTTTTACACTTTTTCAAAATTTAACTTTCAAAAACAAAAGAAAACTAATGTTTTGTGGTTAAATTCTCAATTTCCTTCTGTAAAATTTGTGCAACGACTGATATAATTTTAAATATAATTTGAACCCTAAAGAACACCACTTTGGCATAAGTGGGAAAAATTTCTTTATTTTTCAGCGGTTGTAATGAAGGAAAAAAATCGAAAATCGATTACTTCGCTTTTGAGAAAAGTCACATGTTAGACAAAATTTTAATTTATTTAATGTTTTCGCTTTATTAAAGTTATTTTTATTACATATTTGAAATATTCAAGAAAAAACAAGTTATTTTCATATATTACATTATTTTTTATCTTTTGGTATAACGGAGTTAAAAGTGTTTCAAAAATCCTTTGCTTCCGAAGATGTTAAATTTAAAAAAATCATAACTTTTATAATTTTGATCAAATAAAAAAATAAAAAAACACGTATTTACTTATTTTTCATATAGAATTCGAAAAAAATTGTTTTAATACAAAAAAATTTTTGAGTGAATTTTTTACTGAAAATGCCCCATATGGTGTAATCCACGTCAGTTCAACACAAAAAATTTTATTAGGTTTTGGGATTCGGTTGAAATTGGGTAGATTATATCCTCTGGTGGTAATAAATAAAATCCCCAAGCGATTTTAAAAAATTTCAAAAATTGGCGGACATATTGGATTTTTAATTTTTTTGTACTTTTTTTTGAAAAATATATATCTCTGCTTGTTCTTAACGGATTTTAGTTTATGACCTCTTAAATTGTTCGTATTGAAATATACTTTTATTTAAAAAATTAAAATTAAAAAAATTATTTAAATTTTTTTGTTTAAAAAATTAATTTAATTTTTTGAAAAGCCATAGAAAAAATATGCTACCTTCAATTTTGATCATTTTTTTAATATTTGTAGCCATAAATGTGTTGAACTTGTCCTGAAATTTTCATCGTGGGACAGCCAGTAGTTTTTGAGAAAAAAAATAAAACGTAAATCCTCGCATAGCGCTGTAGCGCTCAGTTTTAATGCCGCACGATTGTAAATGGAATTTTAATGAAAGTACGAGTTTTTATTAACTCTAGAACTAAAATATGATTTTTTTATAGACTAACGAAAAACTGGGGTGGTTTGGTACCCCAGATTTGAAACAATTGTAAAAGTTCTCCTTTTTTGTAATTTTTTTAATTTGTCAACAATGTGGCTAATTTGAAAAAATTAAACGGATTTTAAAAGGTAAATAAAGAAAAACTGTAAGACCTCGGAAACTCCCCCGTAAAAAATAGAAACCTCCTTTGTAATAAATGATTTTGATTCTATTTTAAAATCATTTAACATTTGTATATATTGTAAATAATATTTAAATTTTCAAGTTGCCTTAATCAAAATAAAATTGTCTCTATTTACCTTTTAAAATCCGTTTAATTTTTTTAAATTAGCCACATTGTTGACAAATTAAAAAAATTACAAAAAAGGTAACCTTTTACAATTGTTTCAAATCTGGGGTACCAAACCACCCCAGTTTTTCGTTAGTCTATAAAAAAATCATATTTTAGTTCTAAGTTTAATAAAAACTCGTACTGTCATTAAAATTCCATTTACAATCGTGCGGCATTAAAACTGAGCGCTACAGCGCTATGCGAGGATTTACGTTTTATTTTTTTTCTCAAAAACTAGGGGAAGTGCTCCGGTTGTGGGCACCCTCCGGTTGTGGGCACCCCTACGTAAACTTCGACGGCAAGCAGACTTTACTGAACTAAGTATTGCAAGTCGTGTTCGTTGACAATACGGACTTTTCGTATTGATAACGAAACAAATATATGCATTTGTGTAATAGCTGTGAGCATGATAAAGAAAATTTGCATTAAATAAATAAAAAAGTAATTTTGTATTGTTTTCAAAGAGCAACATATGGGTGTAGATTCGTTCAGAAAAAAGGGTTAAATTTTTTCTTTGCAGTGTTGTCATTATATTTTGTGATTTACCTTCGTGTTTAACCAAAATCCTGCATCACAAAATGTGTTGGTCTTTTTAAAAAATGACTGTCATTCCCGGTTGTGGGCACCTTTATGTTAAGGAAGCTCTACCATCTGAGAATGATGAGGACTACTGTCTCATCTATCTAAACTTTCTGCCAAGGAAAGTGACAGCCGCAAACTCCATTAAATGCAATGAACATAGTCGTTCAGTGCATTCGAAGTGCGTTATGTTATGCGTACTAGCTACTGCACATGCAAGCATTATGCTTCTGTTAGCGATGAGCATAGTGTGAAAACGTGTCATCATTTTTGTTCTTTATCCCGGCTAATTCTCTTAAAATAAAGAAACTTTCATTTCTTCTTTATTTGTGTTGGTTTCTTTTAATATTTTTCCATTTTTAGCGGATTTTTCAAGGGTGCCCACAACCGGGTACAAAAATTTTTTTGTCAAAAAATTCCCATTTCACTAAATTTCTAATAAAACTTTTTTATTTAAAGGAATAAATTTAATTCCTTCACTAACAGTCACCTTAGACCTCTAGCTTTAAATTCGTACACATATATATTTGTATAATATGCACATGAAAAAATGTTATGAGGCAAAAACAAAAAGGTGCCCACAACCGGAACACTTCCCTTACTGGCTGTCCCACGATGAAAATTTCAGGACAAGTTCAACACATTTATGGCTACAAATGGTAAAAAAATGATCAAAATTGAAGGTAGCATATTTTTTCTATGGCTTTTCAAAAAATTAAATTAATTTTTTAAACAAAAAATTTAAATAATTTTCTTAATTTTAATTTTCTAAATAAAAGTATATTTCAATACGAACAATTTAAGAGGTCATAAACTAAAATCCGTTAAGAACAAGCAGAGATATATATTTTTCAAAAAAAAGTACAAAAAAATTAAAAATCCAATATGTCCGCCAATTTTTGAAATTTTTTAAAATCGCTTGGGGATTTTATTTATTACTACCAGAGGATATAATTTACCCGATTTCAACCGAATCCCAAAACCTAATAAAATTTTTTGTGTTGAACTGACGTGGAATACACCATATATTTCTTTATCATTTTACTAATTATCATTAAAATCGAAGAACTAGGGGATAACATTGATATTTTAGGCCTGGTTTCACCTAACATGATATGTGGGTGATTCTCCGCGTAGCGCACAATTTGGATTTTACTATTTTTGAAATTTTTTTTTCAAATTAAGTAAAAGTCGATATAGAATTTTAAAGTTCAATATTCAAGAACGAAATATTCGTGATGGGCCAGACAAAATAATTATAATTTTCTTTTTTAAAATAAACACCCATGTAAAATTGATTACACCATGACGCTCTGATTCGACCATGACGCACAAGAAAAACTTATTTTTTAAGCAAATTGTTATCGATTTCAAAAATTCTTTTTTTTCCCTTTTTTTGTTTTCATTTACTTTATACTACTAAACTTGTTTTGAGGTAAAATATAAATAATTATTCATTTTATTGCAAATATATTATGATTCGACCATGACGATTCTGTGATTCCCTATGCAACTTTCATGCTTGTAACACATATAAAAGAGAAAAATAAATTTTTTTATTAATTTCTTTTTTAGTAATTTACTTAGGAGAGTTTATTAATGCTTTTTATTAATGTTAAGTAATTTTTTGATTTGATTTTTTATGTAAATTAGGCAATTTTACAAAGTGATGATACCATGACGCGAAAACGAGGGACAAGAAATATCTACAAAAATAATTTAAAATAAATTTTTATTTCCATAAGTATTTTGTTTTTCTCAATTCTACTAATTTAGACAATAATAAAATGTCAATATTCATTATATTTATTATTATATTTTACTAAAAAAATAACATTTTATATATGAAATGGTAGTGGGGACTGATTACACCATGACGTTTTGGCACCTTAAAACAGATTTTCAAGTAAAATTATAAACTTTTAAATGAAAACGACTATAGACTTTTATTTGTTATCATGGAAATAAGTTATCCACGTTGAATTTATTAGAATATATGAAACTGATTTCTTAAAAAACATGAGGGACATTAAATTGTGCGCTACGCGGAGAATCACCCATATATCATTAGGTGTTACTTTAGAACAGACAGGGAAAAATTTAAGAATGACCTAAAATTAAGATTTTTTTTAATATATGTGAAATAGTACCTCTATTCATCAAAGACTTATGTTGCTCTGTGTGGTTACTTTTAATGGTAATACACTTCTTCAGAAATTCGAGAACGTCAACCCCTCGTTCTCTTGGAGTCATAAACTCAGATTTTGAGAGCTTCCACCATCCGTCTTTGATTATTTATGTTTTTCTTCGCTCCTCTTGTTCAGACAATCGCGTAATTTAACTGCTGTTTCTTTTCCTTTCTCGATAATCTAAGTTAGCGTTTTTTGCAAATCAGATTAATGTGTCTGGAATAAAAAAATTGGATCATAAATAAAATTGAATCATAAATGAGGCATTTCACGTCAGAAATATCACGATTTGCAAAGGGTCTGCCGATTTTCGCAAAACTTCGTGGGATTATAGTTCTATATAAGAGACTTCTTTCCCCCAAATTTAAAAAAAAAATTCAAAATTGTTGAAGATACGCCATTTTGAATTTTAATATTAATTTTATAAAATTTTAAATATCTCGAAATATTGTTTATGGATTTTTATGAAATTTACACATTTTTCAGGTAAAAGTATGTACTTTAGAATGCAAATAAAGTTAATAAAAAAAATTAATTTTTAAATAAAAAAATTTAAAAAAAATTTTTTAAACAATTTTTTGTTTATTTACTCCTCTCTGAGAAAAATGTTATTAACACATTTGGATTCCTTGTGAATTCACCTTTAATTTCATAAAAAAAATTGATGGAGACTCAACTGGTTCCGGAGATATTGAATTTTTTGTAAAAAAAAGCGTCGCCGCGCCATAGCACCATACTGCACAAGTCGCGTAGTACGTTACCGCAGTAGTGCATTGCTGCTGTAACTATGACTATTTTTTACAAAAAATTCAATATCTCCGGAACCAGTTGAGTCTCCATCAATTTTTTTTTTGAAATTAAAGGTGAATTCATAAGAAATCCAAATATGTTAATAACATTTTTCTCAGAGAGGAGTAAATAAACAAAAAATTGTTTAAAAAAATTTTTTTAAATTTTTTTAATTAAAAATTAATTTTTTTTATTAACTTTATTTGCATTTTAAAGTACATACTTTTACCTGAAAAATGTGTAAATTTCATAAAAATCCATAAACAATATTTCGAGAAATTCAAAATTTTATAAAATTAATATTAAAATTCAAAATGGCGTATCTTCAACAATTTTGAATTTTTTTTTTTAAATTTGGGGGAAAGAAGTCTCTTATATAGAACTATAATCCCACGAAGTTTTGCGGAAATCGGCACACCCTTTGCAAATCGTGATATTTCTGACGTGAAATGCCTCAAATGTCAATTCGTTAAAATGCCATAATATCATACCACTGAAGTAAACAAATCGTGGATGATTCCCCACAAATTCATGCCATAAACGATTATTTATTTCCGTATCATTATTTGTCCGTCTCTCTTCTCTAAAAACGGAGAAGTTTTCTGGAGTAGTAATGCGTAACAAATATTTTCGGTAGTACTCAATAAACTAGTCCAGAAGAAGAGAAACTGGAACAAGAGTCTGTTATTCCCCAAGAACAGGTACGCGATCTTCTGATTCTAATGATTGCACGAGAAATGTAAACGTTACTTCTATATATTCAGCTGGCAAAAGCATAGAGATATTATAAATTGAGTGGGGAAGATACACGGAGAGAAGATTCAACAGCAAACTACTGTGTACGCACAGCAAAATGCTGTGTATGCACAGCAAATCAACGTGTCAGAGGAGCACTAGACTGCGCATCTACAATTACACTGGAAAATACTGTGTCACTCACATGAAATCTTTGTGCCGACACAGTATTTTTGAGGTTTGTACAGAATAATTCACAGAGGGCGCACTGAATTTCTGATGCTCTTGACACTCTTTCAGTCTGCTAGACTATACACATTACTTTGCTGTTAAATCTTCTATCCGTGTATAGGGCCGACCGTAAGTGACGATAAGACGCTGGAAGAGAAAGAAAGAAAATCTAAACCGTAGCTCTGTCCTTGAGGGGCATGTGTAAATGCGCGAGAAACTGAGCAGCACACCTGATTTTCAAATTATTTTCAGGTACTATAATAATACTAGGTATTGTATTACTTATTGTTATAAATAAACAATAATAATACATTTTAAATAATATTTTAATAATAATAAATTTTTAAATCAATATGTTAAACGATTTTTAATGTAAAATACACTATCGGTCAAAATTGAGAGACCACCCATTTTCAGGTGAATGAAAAACGGTTTAAAACAAAAAATTTATTAAAACTAAAATTTTTTTCTGTTCTTTTTTTGAAACATGATAAAATTTTGAAAAGAACAAGATATTTCAGAAGTCGTGTGGCCAATATTTTATTTAGATATTTTTTAAAAATCGTCATTTTTAATGTTTTACAAAAATTTGAATAACTTTTAAAATAATGAACTCTTTTTAATGATCTAAGCCTTATTTTAAAGTTTAGTTGCTACACTATAAGAATTACGTATAGGCATTAACGTATAATTTTTTTCTTAAAAATTGCAAGCCGTCAAAGTTGGACCAAAAAAATTTGAAACATTCTTATTAACAGAAAAATAATTTTTAAAATTCAAACGAATTTTTTTTATTTAATTTTTATGAAAAATCTACACCATATGCTGTTCTATATATTTTTTAAAATACTTTTTAGTACAGAAAAATTGTTTCAAATTTTTTGAATTTTTTGGTCAAACTTTGACGGCCTGCATTTTCTAAGAAAAAAATTACACGTTAATGGCTATAAGTAATTCTTTAAGTGTAGCAAATAACCTTTAAAATAAGCCTAAGATCATTAAAAAGCGTTCATTATTTTAAAAGTTATTCAAATTTTTGTAAAACATTAAAAATGACCATTTTTTAAAAATATCTAAATAAAATATTGACCACACGACTTCTGAAATATCTTGTTCTTTTTATAATTTTATCATCTTTCAAAAAATAAAAATAAAATTTTTTTAGTTTCCATACATTTTATGTTTTAAAATGTTTTTCAATCACCTAAAAATGGGTCTCTCAATTTTGACCGGTAGTGTATAATAGAACATATAAATTTTTTTATTCAAACAAGAATTAACGTATTTATTCAATATTTTTAAACATCACATTGAATGACAGAGTCTCACATTTTAGTATTACATAATACATATTTATCACATGAATAAAATTTTTAATTCATAAATTAATTTTATAATTAGGTTTTGATTGTTGAACGTTAAATTAACGTTAAATCTTATGATATAAATATTTTCGCGTTTAAAAACTATTAACATTAATAAATAAAAGCTTTGAAGTACATAGTCTCATTTCAGTCACATATTTATCACATGAATTAATATTATATTTTGCAAACTAATTTTTAAATTATTAGTTTTATCTTTTTATATCTTTCCAAATATAAAATTATTGACCTTTGAAAATAGTTAACTTATTATATAACATTCGCACGCGAAATTTTGAATCCCAAAGTTTGTCACTTTCATGTAAAAAATTGTTATGCCTTATTCGGAAAAAATTTATTATAAAGTATCAAATTTATTACACGAATTTAACACCGTAGTGATACCAAGAATAAATAATAATAATGACAACAACGTAAGAAAAGGCAAAGATACAACTAAAAAAACTAAGAAAACAAATTGTATTTATAAAATTAATTGTAAAGATTTTTCTGCTAGTTATGTGGGTGAGTCAAAGAGAATGCTTGGTGTGAGAATTGATAAACACAAAAAATCAAAATATAATGTCATAGCCATTCATAAACGCGAATTCAATCACGATTTCGATTGGAGTGGTTTCTCAATTTTTGACAACGAACCTGTGTGACGGAAGGGACTGCTCTCTGAGATGATTCATATTGGACTACAAAAAAAACCTCTTAATAAAAAAGATGATATAAAATATTTATATAAACAATATTTGAATTTCTTTTCTAATAAATTTTAATTTGTTTTTAAAATTACTTTCTCAGTTAATACCAAATATAAATATCTCTGAGATCGGTCTTTACCATTTGGGTGTATATATGTAAATATGTTGTAGGCCGATAGACTTTCCAGGCCAGTAGCTAAAAGCCTAACTTCTTTTCTTATGGCCAGGCAGTAGACTAAACTAGGCCAGTAGCCAAAGAAATCGCTGATAGCTACTGACCTGATCATTTTTAAGCCGATAAAGAATGCACTGTTTAAACGATTAGTTAAGAGGTAAGGCAACTGTAGATTTTTCAAATCATACATTTTTTTTATTATCGAAAAAAATTTTTTGAACCTTGTAGAATATAGAGCAAAAGGTTTTATACGTGTCTGAAATTGATTTAATTGAAATTTCAAGCCCTTTTACCGAGCGCGCCGAGCCGTTCCGCAACGACTACCTGCGTCTGATGGCTACCTGTTGGGCAGAAACTGCTCAGATAATGATGATACAAATACAGAAGGATGTCTATATGATGCTTTAATTACAGATTCATGGTAACAAATTTTTAAAAGTTAAATTTTTCATTTTTTCATAGGTATGTTGTATATATCTCAAAACTTTAAACGCGTATTTCTCAAAACACGTTTTTTAAAATCGGCACGCAGCATAACTCAAACAATTTCCAATATTTTTAATCGGATTTTTTCTTACATCTTTATAATAACATTTCAAAGAGAATGACGTACAGGATTTTCAATAACTTAATTTAAACATTTGTTACGAACAATTTAGTGCTGTTTTTTTTTGTCAAAAAATGAATCTTTTTTCAAATGCTTGCCAATTTCACAAAAGTAAATATTTTTTAAATCCTTTACGTCATTCTCTAACTATTGTCATGTAGATAAAGAAATTTTTTTTTATTTTGTCCCGATTAAATTTTGCATCCTATGTGCTGCGTGCCGCGGAGCTCTTTTAAAAAAAGGCATCTTATTAAAATGTCCATAACTCCGCCATTTTGTATTTTTTGTTGTTGAAAATTTACATTTTTTTAGTTCAATATATGACTAATAACATACTACATTATTATAATTGTATTCGCTTTCCTTCCAACAAAGAAAATTCTTGAAAACTGGTCTTTTTTTAGCGTTTACAGTGGCCTTACCCCTTAATTGAGTTTATTTGTTACAACACGAAGAGCTTGAGTCG